ACTTGAGGATGTGCAGTAGATTTTTCAGAGGGCCCTAAGCATCAGCTGTGGGATTTAGAGTTGTACATTTCACTGATATCATTTCTGTGGCCTAATGTGGTTTTCAATTTGTCTGAATTAGTTTAATTTGAGATAGATAAGTATAAACAGTGTTTGTAAACTTCCTGTTTGCCCTCCACATGTGCCTGCATGATGGTTTCAAATCCTTGACCAACACTCAATCAATGGCAAATGACCAAGGATTACCTTTTTTACCTTTTGTTCCCCGTACAGTAAATATATATTTTCAAAATATATATTTCAAGAATTTTGTTTGGTGCAAATCATGAAAGTTAAATATCCATGGGGTAGAAGAAGAGAAAAAGAAAAAAAAGTCTCACTAATACAATTCTATATACTGTTAGTTTGTTAAGTTTCATAAAACATGAAATATTTAAATCTAACAAGAGTTGCCTAATGTTGTATATAATATAATGTTTGTAGTTCATTCTGAACTTTGATCAAACTTTTTACTCTCCCATACTCATGATATGTTCCATTGACTCCTCTTTATTCGCCCGAAAGCACTTGTCGCTTCCATCATCAGCTTGCTTCCTTTATTTTGAGTAAAGCTCTACATCGACTTTTTCCCTCTAAAATTAATGGGGAATTAATGATTCCGTTATTCCCCCGCTGTGCAGGAAAGGGGGGTAAAGGATTCTTTTTTTTAATCGCCCAATCTCGAGAAACTGATTGGAGCAGAAAAAGTACGCCCAGTCCCCTTCTGCCAGGCCTCACAATAGAGGCTCTGATTTTTTTGATAGGGTTCGATGCTGTCAGGGGGCCAGCTGGAATTAGAAGTGGATTAATAATTTTAAACAAGGCTAAACCGCTTGGACTGTCTGTCTGCTCTTTCCAATGCTTAGCCAATAGTCCGTCTGCTGCGACCACATCAAAACAATCTAAAAACACTATATCTTCCTAATGAAGAGGCTTGGCTTTAGTATTTGGGCTGGAGGCAACAAGAAAACATGCTTATTTAGACAGATTTCAGGAGATTCACAGTAAGAGAACAAGCCCGGATTATTGTTAGCACATTGACATCAAGTTTATCTCTGATAGAGAACTTTAAAAGAAACTTGGACTTGGTAAAGAGGAATCTGCTTTGCTCAGTGGCACAAGGACAGCGCTCCTGTGACACGCCATGTTGACCACAGTTTGCATGAACAAAGTCCTGAGGGCCATGTTGTGCTTGTTAGTTGTGGTGTCCGCAGGACAGTGACCCGGGCCACAGGGAAGATTAGGTTTAGCACCAGCGGGAGTGTTAACTGGTGACTTTTTGGGGATTTGGGTGTCTGTATGATCTAAATGCAAAGGCATTACCAACCAAATGTGGCTATTTCGTAAAGCCGACAGAATGAGGTTCTGCTAGTGTGAGATCATGCAGCATTGAGGGACCAAGATGGCCGACACGTGCCGTTGATGAGACAGACGTGTTCCTTCATGTGTCAGGGACTATGTACGATATCATTACATAGGTAAAGGTACAATAGAAAAGATGAAGCACAGTAAAACAATACTGCAAATCCTTTTCAACGTCAATTACGGAGTTACCTTTTCAACATATAGAACAACTTTGGCTAACAAAGAGGGAAAACCAGAAGCAGTGGAGGGGGTGCCAAAGGAACCGCTGCACCTTACCACATGTCCATTCAATCAAGACAGCCAAGGAATACCCTTTTATCCACCAGGAGTGAGAGAAGCCAGTTAGTGTCACCGGCTCTTTACTGGAAAGATTGAAAACATATAGAATGGTTGAGCTGACTTTAGTTTTTGGCACATCTACTCCACATGCTGCTGTTTGTCTGAGTACTGTATACTACAGTATGTTCTTCTGATGGAAAACCATACTGCTCTAATTCAATATGAGTTGATAAAAGTGAATATCTCCATACAGTTGTGAGCTTTCTTGAGGTTCCAAGAAAGGTTCATTCATTTCATACTATGCAGTGGGGGCGGGTCAAAATGACGTGCGCTGACATGCTTGCAATACCACCCGGGCCGATGGGGGTGGACCCGGAATAAGAATTAGCCAATGCTAACATATAGCATCTTCTTACCTCTCGAAAACGTCTTTACAGGATGTTCCAAAAGTTGGCTCTTAGCCCAAAGCTCCGTTCCACATGTGTGTCAATGCTGAGGGGAGTAGAAAAATTGTGTACCACTCTAGTTTAGTCGTTGTGAATTTTTGAAGGCACTCGTTAAATGAATGGGGCTTGAGCAGCTGACGCATGCGCAGATGCGATTTTTCACGTTTTCCAGCCCCTGCAGCCATTTTGAAACTGCCCATAGATTGCGGACGTTGTGGCACATTAGTTAGAACCGCGGAGATAGGCGTGACTACATCCGTTAATAGTTACAGTTTATGTCAAAACCAAACAAATTCCATGCAAGTAAAGTTTTTTTGTACAGCATAATTCATATCACAAAACAAGAAAGGAAATATTAAGAAACAAATACAAACACCAATAAATAGTACATTCATTTTTCAAATACAGCAGAAGCAATCCTTCAGTTGCATGCACAGCAAACAGAACTGTTGTTGTTGAACATTGTAAGAGTATTAGCCTGTCTCACATGTTCAGGAAGACGGAATATTTTAGCCGAATAAATCTGAAATGCTGCCTCCCCATGTTTAGTCCTGACTACGGGCACCAGCAGTCCCTGTGCTCCTCAGATTCCCAGCAGGAGACCAGTCCCTGTGCTCCTCAGATTCCCAGCAGGAGACCAGTCCCTGTGCTCCTCAGATTCCCAGCAGGAGACCAGTCCCTGTGCTCCTTAGATTCCGAGTTGGATCTTATGGCTCTATCCTGTCACTTTGGTACGAGGCCGTGCGAGACTTGTACACAAGCAGAGCTGATTTAAAGTCTGTTCTCTGAGCCACAGGCCGACATTTCATTACTACCCCTAGATTTCTAACCTGATTTGGAGGATTTGAGGAGAGAGACTGGAGGTAACTGACAACTTTGTTTTTGTGTGTCATAAACATTCATTTAATATTTCAATAGTTTATGAGTTTATCCGTTCAGTCCGTGTAGTATTTTTCACTGCTGTTAGTGATATAGAAGTGAATATTATTACATAAATAAAGCCAGAAGCATTTGTCATGATTATTACTAAAGGAAGGCAAGGTTTTATTATGTTGACAATATCTTTTGGTCTCATAAGTGTTGAATCCACTAACAGGAAATGTATTTCTGGTCCTACCTTCATCAGGATCACCAGGTCCCACTGGTTGGTGATTATTGCTAATGTTACGAGCATTTTAATTATGTTATGTTTGAATATAGTTTTGTTGAAATAAAAAGCTTTTGTTATGTTATCCTTGTTTCAAATATGTTTTTATTGAGAAATCCGTTTGGTCTTAGGTCCACGAATTCTTTTATGACCCATGTACATAAAAGGGTGAAAGTGTTGTCACAGAAAATAAAGAAAAAAGGCAAAGATGTGCAATCCTAATTAGCGATTATTGCAATGGTTTAATTTCAGGAGTAGATCAAAAGTGTTGCTTTATGAATACTTTATAAAATGTAAAACCTGTTCTTCTAATGATTGAACTTTTACTTTGTATGTATTTATTTAAACATATATTTTTGCAAAGTGCAAATGCTGTGCAAAGCAAATCTTTATGTCGTCTCTTTAAGTCTATCATTATAAAAATGTTCTGTGAATGCAGCGGAGACATTAGCCCCCTTCTGAGCTATTATTCTGCCTGTCTGCTGTTGCAATTTCACACTCCACTGAATCAGACATGCACAAGAGTGTCTACATGCCCCAGATTTCACCTTATTTAGGTAATACATCCAAATCACTGCTAAGACAAAGTGACTGCAATCAGCAGCGGGGCCTGGTGCGCTAACTGGTCTCACACAAAAAGAGAATTAGACATACTATAAAGTTACCTGCAGCAGACAGAATATGCAAAGTAATATCATTCATTTGGGTTCATTTACATCTTTGAGTTATGATCCCACTCCAGCACATGCGTGTGGTTGTTACAGGCTTAAGCTGTTTGCAATGTCACATTTCATCTTCAGCCTCATACCTAATGCATGGAGTATGGCAGTGACAGACAGCAGACTACAAATGCATTATTGATACTCCCCACAACCAAACATAGAGCCCGATCCTCACTGTTTAACTGCCCTTCGACCGCAGCGTGAGCTCCACTGCCCTTTTGTTTTATTCACACCAGACATTTATCCACACCGCACAATTTGCACTCTGAAGATTTGAATGAATTCTCGTTGTTGGCGGCTGCAGTAAGGACAGAATCCTGAGGCTAAATTGGTTTTGAACGATCGTGTTTGCGGTCGTGTTTGTTCCTCACAAAAGTTTAAATAGCAGTAGTAAAATTGTTTATTCTATCATACACATTTTTTGACATAAAAAAGGCATAAAAAAAGGTTACAAAAACAATTTAACTTGTGTCAGTTAATGTACATACTTTGACATTAATATACAAACACATTTATGAGCAAAATCCGGTATTGAACTCACATTGTTTACGTGCAGGTGAAATGTTGATTATTGTTAAAAAAAATGTATTTCTTTGATTCTGTAAAACTAATATATGATATAAGCTCATCACATGCTAAGTGACATATGCCAAGCCTTTATTATAATGTTTATGGCTTACAGTTTATTGCCCAAAGATGTTATATTTATGTTTTTTTCAAAAAGCGGTGAGCCATAGTTATCAACATTAAAACATGCAAAGGATGGATATGAATGAATCTGTCATATATTAGTTTCACATTAGTTGAATTTAAACTTTTGAACAACTAATAGTCCAAGATTGACCTGTACATGTTTTGCAGCTATATGGAAATGCTTTGAAATACACTTTTTAACCTATAGAAGAGAAAAACAAAGTGACCGTTCCTGTCTTTAGAGCGGAATTGAAATGGACAAAGCAATTATTGGCGAGACTGTCCCACAGACACTGAAAGGATATCAGCATGAGAGTTGGGATTGGCTCGAGGGACACCAATGGCTCCATGCATTATCCTGGCATGAGGTCGCTTTGCCAATCGCCTCCCAATTTCCAGAAGGCACCTGGCCGAAAAGCACCATCCCCCTCACCGCAAGCACGCACCTTCCTCCTTCTCCTTCTTCAAGCTGCTCCGAAGGGCCGGTAGGCTTTGGTCAATGCATCAGATTGCATTTATATTATGGAAGCTCTATGTGAAATATTCGTTAAAAAAAAAAAAAAAAAAAAATGACACTCAACTCTTATACATAACATAAAGAGTTGAGAGTAATTTTTATTTTTTTTTCTTCTTCTTTTTTTTACGAATATAGAGCTGCACGCTGTTGGCAAAATGTGTAATTACCATTTTTAAATCAACAACTTTGAGAGAAACACAATATGGACCGATGAGCTCAAACCAGATTCCCACAAAAACAAAAAAAATCTGTAAAATTAATGTATTAACGACATTTCCTACCTTTCTATTGATATATGACTTTGTTTAGAAGTTTTGTCAATGAAACCAGCACAAACCGTCCTTTATGTGATAGAATCATGTGTAGAGAGGACAAACACATTTATAACAGCAATTACACACACAAGACAATAGATAACCATAAAACATTTGCAATAAATACATTTCAATTCAATCAAGGTCAAAGGTCAGTGCAAATATAAAGTTCATGTTTAGAATAAGGCTAGAGATCATTTTTAATTTAAGTCATAGCAAAATCAATAATCAAATCTATGTATTTTTTTTGCATGAGCCTCACTTTTTCAAAATCCTCAAAAAGTTGGATCGGAAATTAGGAATACACCATTTAATAAGAGTTTTAAGCCCAATACCGTTATGCTTTTCTGTTATGAAATGATTGAATATATTGATTTATTTTATTGCCTTTTTTATTTTTTAGGCATTTTTTATCTGTGTTTTTTTTATTGCTATTATGAAGCTGCCTGTTGAATTGCCTTGTACACCAACTGCGCTATACAAATAAATGGTGCTTGATTGACTGTTTGCGGCTCAAGTTGTGCTTTTAGGTTCTTGTGATAAGCTGAATGTGCTGCTGTTAGGATTGGTCAGTACTGTCTTGACCAGGACTCTCTGAAAATCACTGGAAAAACTATAAGAAATAAAAAAAATAAAATAAAATACAGCAGATTTTTTATTTCTAACAAAAATTGGGTTAAAACAAAGATTTATGGGATTCTAGGTTAAATCTACTACACAATTGATGTTAGCCGAACTGACTTTCTTAACTCTCAAATCATGCTGTGACGCTAAAAAGGAATTGAGAAGTGAATCAACCCAATCAATCCTAAAATCTCATGGAGGAGCTGGAGGGAGAAAACAAAGAGGAGAGGAGGTGCAGCTGCAGACACAGGGGGCAGAGTATGTGTGCTCTCGTTTGTTTGGGAAGTAACGCTCAGTATAAATGCAGCAGCTCAGGGGAAAGCACTTCTTTTTTTTTATTGTTATAGACGGCTGTAAGTTCTGTTTTACACTCTCTCAATTCAGTTTGTCTGCTCTGTACGATCATCACATGTGTGTTACCTGTTTGTTACCTGTAAAAAACTAAGTATTTGTTGGGTCAGGTTTATGTTAAAGGTGCATTCACACTGCTCTGTTGAAGTGAGCTCTGATTCACTTGGGGCTCATAATTCTTCAATTTTGGAGATGTGAAAGTACCACACTCCACAAGTAACATCAGAGCACATTTGGAACAGATCTGTGGTGATTATTCTAACCACTCCCCTCAGTCAGGAGGCTACAGTCCATCCGGACCAGAAGCTCCCGCCATGACTTTCTTCCCCTCTGATCCTTGATCACTTGGCCCATGACCTTTATCACGTCACTTTACTACTGTCACCTTACTACTGTCACCTTACTGCACTGCTTAATGTCTGTTGTGTGCACCGAGTGCACTTGTATACAGTAATAACTTAATTATTTGAATATTCTATTCATTCATTCATTTTAAACCCCTTTAAATTTGAATATTCTAGAAATATATATGTATCTTTTATGCTTTATTCTATTTTCTACTTTTGACTTGTTTGCACCAAGAGGCAAAGCAAGTTCCCTGTCTGTGACTTCCTGTTACTTACATGATAATAAGTTATGATGAGGTCTGTACTGGGTGATCAAAAAGTGTAAATGTATCCAAAGTAAATGTGAATGTATTCCACAATTTGTCTTTAATATGGACAAAAACTAATTCAGAATTCTATTGTCTCAATGTGTGGCATTGAACAAAAAACCGTTTTGTTAAAAAAAAAAAAAAACTGTTTACATGTTTTGTAGACATTAGTTACATAAATATTTGTTTATTACTAGTTTTTTTGTATGTATCTTATGTAAGTGTGTGTGTTTATTTAAAGGCCTTTCTGTAGACAATTCGCAGAATCATAAATGTGAAATCCTTTTGAAAAAGTGAATTGAATAAACTCAGTACACAATAACGAATGAGGCCTATAGGGACCAAACATACAACACTGATTCAGTGACTGGCATTTCTGGGTCAAGTGAGCATGCGCGTCTTTCAGTTTGACATGTTTTGTTGCTTTTCTGAGATTGAAACTTTTCAGAAACGATCCATGAGGAAATGAGTGGCTATAGGCCTCTGCTTAAATAATAATGAATGAAAGGGCCTCAACAGTGCCGTTTTATTGTGCGGACAAAGCTGACGTAAGTGACATTGTTCTTGGTTTTGCAGGAGATCACTGAATATGAGAGCGTCTCGGGGGGACGCCGTGGAGCTCTGCGGGGGTTCTGGGGTCTTCTCAGGTGACCCTCCATTCAGGTGCTAGTGCTAACATGCATGTTTCAAAGAGATGCACGACTGGCACTGAAACGTCTTTTTGACATCATCTTGACTTTGCTGTTAACTTTAAACTGCATTCATAAGCTCTAAACTGCATTACACAATAAGTGTCTAAATATAGATTATTTCAGTGAAAAGACAAACGCAGAGTTCAATTGCTGAACATCTGCTTTGCTGAGTGAGGGTTTGCCAAAGGCCTCACTCACGGGACCTATTAGCGTTTATTCCAGTGCCTGCTCTGATAAGGTATTCATCAACTTTCTGACATTGGGCCAGATGTTGTGGAGACAGCAGTGCAGTCTCTGCTGCGTGATGGACATCCCCAAGGCCACCAGCCTACAGTAAGGTATCGACAGTCGAGGTTGTGATGAAATGCTCCTTTTAGGAACAGTTATTGGAACTATCCCATGCCTGGAGCAGAGTGGCACAGGCCTATACAGATCCTTCATGTCCTGTTTGCACTGCAACATTCAGTCATTTGCTGATAGATAAAATAATAGCAGATTCAAATAACATTTAGATCTATTTTTGTAACACAAGCAATTTAATCATTTACTTTTAAACCTATGTTTAGGTTTAGGTCTTTATCCAAGATAAACTAAGTTATCTTGTTAATGATAAAATATTCCTCATTGTTCAAATATAAACTTTTGTTTTCAATTAACCTTTTGGTTTAAAGATGTTGCGTGACAAAAGGTGTTTAGACTGGCTCCTGTTTCCTTATCCTCTTAGAGGGCTCGGTCTACTTAAGCAAATGCCATGACTATGGAGACGTAAGGTAAAAGGTTTTTGACTGGCAAACCAATCCAATAGACTATCAAACTGCAGCGCCAGGCGCGACACAGGTCACCTCTGCCCTGGGAGCGGAGCCCGTTAGGCAAAGGCCTACATGCAAGCAGACTTGGCGGGTTACGCCGTTTGCCCAGCGGCACACAGCTATTGTAAGATTCAGTGGCAGCAGTCAGCGCGCAGAATACAAAGTCCTACTCTCAAACTGGCCGCGAAGGCTGCTGCAGCAGAGCCTTGTTGTAATCCAGCCTCTATTCTATACACAATTGCATCCACGTGACCGTCACCGTTTTCTAATCCAGCAAGAATGGACGAGAAAAGCCTTTTATGTTTCTCTGTTTGGGTTTGCGTCTTCTCAAACGGGTTCATCGAGAGGTGCGGAACTACATGACAAACTGTGAGCACCGTTTCTAGCGTTTTGAAATAAGAATTCAAATATTTTGTCCATTTGAGAATCCTAGCCTCATAAAAACAATAAAGCGCTCTCAAACACTGTCTATGATTTGAACTGTGCACGCGCGCACCGGCTCTAGTGCGCGTGCGTGCGTGTTTGCGCGCGCGCGGCACAACGTGAGCCCGCTGCTGTTTGTGAGAAAGCCGGGTCTCTCTGACGTCACAGTCTGAGAGGAACATGAAATGTGCGACTAGACGAGCTGAGGGCAGAGGAGGGTGCAGGGCGGCAGTCTGCAGGGCACTTGTGCCGAAAACTTTGTGTGGCACAATTGCATATTTTTACAATTGATTGTTGTTATTATATTATTAATAATATTATTATATTATGGTTCACTTTAAGCGTTCTACAAATAAAACATTAATTAGATAAGTGTTTAAACAGAATTTCTTTGAGTTGTGCTCGGATTCAAGATGGGAGCGGTTTGGCTCCACATTCTTGGCCATTATCACGGTCACACGGTGTCCTCAGCTGCCCGATTGCATGTGCAATTTGTGTGGACCTTTTTCTTTATTAAAGAAGATGAGTTATCATCAAAAGAACATTATAACCAGTTTGAATGCATTTAAAGAACCCCTATGCCAAGTTCAACAGACTCGACATGCTCAAATAACAATGGACAATATTATTTCCAGATTTTTTTTTAATTTCAGTCAAAATTTCCGTTCACATTTCTTCATAAATAGTTGGTAAAACAAATTAACCAACATACAGTAGCCTAAAAAGTACAGGAAAGCTTTGCTTCTGTAGCTATAGGCTGTTGGCCTGCTGTTGAAACAGGTTTGCCTCATGGCACAGTGACACAGTTCATCATTAAAACATTTTGCTCTTCAGGAATAACTTGAGTGTGACCCATTTCTCCCAGAAAGCGTTACAACATCACATTCTGTGTTATTGGCTCTGACCTCTGACACGGGGCAGAAAGGTACGGGAATAAGAAATTAATGTATAGAAAATAGCATATAAAACATATATTCCTTAAATTATTTAAATAAACTCATTTCATATATCACTGTCACGAGGTACCATTTTTACATTTTATTTTAAAAGTAATGCTGGTGGTCTGAATTGTTCTCTTCTGAGCACAATATACTTTGTTTCTGCATAATCAATTCTTGAGAATAGGTTACAATGCAATGCTGTAACTCTTTTACACTGGATGTGTTCTCCTCTACCACATATCTTTCACTAGATTTAGTTAACACAAAATGTCATCTTGACAAGTTATTCACACAAAACAAGCAAATGTGAATCAAACTGCTCTATATGCAACACCACAACAAAGAACACGCTTTAGTTTTCCACAGAAGAATTACATTTAAAACAATGCAAGCTGACAGACCCAAAGAAAAAAACTTTTTTTTGTTATTATCATTATTATATATTTTTGAAGATACTGTGTTGTGACAGTTCCATTGTTGCCGCTGCACACAAAACATACTTGCACAAAGACATTGCTGGAATTAAAAGTTGCCTTGTTGGCGCTTCAAAATGGGCATTGACCCTAATTTTGCAATAATGTGATTGCGAGTTCATCGCACTCTTCTAAAATCCCTCAAGAGTGCAACAAGCTGCTGGGAGTGTTTTCAGTATGCTACGAATTGACATCTATCTGATCTAGAAAAGTAAATACACAAAAAATTATTCCAACAAAATATAAAGATATAAACATAACCGTTTTATAGCTTCTCAGCTCATCTGAACTTAGTTCTAACAAGCGTTACATGTCAATGGTCTCGTAAAGAAAAGTGACGGAAATATCTGCATCATATATCGACAATTCCAGTATATTCATATAATATTTCTTCAATCCAAATAAGACACCTGGAGGCCTACTGGTTTAAAAGAAACAGAGCAGAATACAATCGTGAAGTGGGAAATGTAAAAGTCATTTGTTTATCTTAAGGGTTATGACCAAAACTGTACAGTTCTTGTTAGAAAACATTTCCATAAATATTATTTATGTTTCAGAACTTATACCCATAATTAAATTACAAATTGATAAATATGGCATCATGGATATGTATTTACAACAGTATTAACAAAAGGCAACGTTTATATTTAACGCTAACAATCGTAACCAAATAACCACCTGAAACGGACGCTGACAACAGATTAAACCCCATTGAACAAGGAAATACATTCACAAGTATAATATTAGTTTCTGCAGTTTTTTTGTGTTCAAGTTAATCACAAAGACTTTGGCACATTTCTTAAGACTGTCTGAAGTTCCAACAATCAAATTTGAAGAGGCAGCAGCGCGTTGCCACCTTAGAAAAGAGCGTAAAATAGTACCTTATTTCTTTATTTTCTTAATAGAAAAATGAGGAAAATATACATAAACAATAGTTATTTGTTGTAAAGCAAAGTATACAATTTTTTTGAGAAAGCAAAGTGTCTTCATGTATTTGTTTTATTTATTTACGCGTGGTATTTCCACCAAACGGCAGACGGAAAGTCAAATTGTGGGATCCTGAGAATGGACGTGGCCTGCGTGCAGCTCTGCCTTTTGCTCTGCCTCCTGTTGTGGTCTAATCCCGTGTGTGTGAGCCGTGTGTGCGAGGGGGAATCCGGGCGTCTTCAATTCCGTGATGCACTGGTTAAGTGTTTTCTTTGAGTCATTTCAAACGTACCACTCGTTAAAGTTTGGAGCCAGTCCTTCACTGTGAGCAGTGTTCTGTACCACGGCTGATGGAGGGGTCTTTGTGGGGTCCTCAGTGCTGCCTGACACCAGCACAGGCGGTGTGGACGACTCGTACCCAGAGCTGGCAGCCGGAGACGACTCAGACCCTTGAGACTCATGGACCTGAACGCACATAACACACGCATGAGCGTCTCTCTACATGACATCAAATATCAGACTGAAGTCCTGGAGTCAGGCCCTGAACAAGCAGCCTCTGCATACATCATCAGGACATCAGGACATCAGTACATGGAACATAAACAACTCTAGCGGCAGCTTTATATTCGTGCTTGACGCGAATATGCGCTTATATAAAGGTTGTATTTAGTGGACAGTGAGTGGCCAAACATAATAAACAAGAACGTGTTTGGTTATGGACCATTTGTACACGTTATAACGTGACAGTCCTGTCAGCGGGGGGGAGGGTGGGGGAGGTGTGTTAATGTGTTTAATGCGTAATGAAGACGTTAATTACCTTCATGTGTTTCCTGAGAGAGCTGGGGTGCGTGTAGGACTTGTCGCACACTTTGCAAATGTACGGCTTGTCTGACGTGTGCACGTGCATGTGCTTTTTCCTGTCGCTGCTGTTGGCGAATCGTCTGTCACAGCCATCAAACTCACACTTAAACGGCTTCTCACCTGGGGAATAAATGCATACACCACGTCAATAACCTAAACAACCTCTTAAAAGATCATCTTATAGTTGCGCCTGCTGCAGAAGCAGCGGCGCAGACATCAGAGTGTCTGCAGCCCGTTATATAACCCTAACCTACATTTGGAGGGCGACATGGATCGAGCTCCACTACTCTACGGTGCCCTGTCAGGCGTTATTTATTCACGAGGCCTCATGCTACTACTGCCCTGCACTATCGTAAACATTGAATCAACAGGGCATTTGACAACAGGCATTTATAAAATAACAAACACTGAAGCATTGCGTGCTTGATTTGTGTCTGGGAAATACAGAGCGCATTCAACAAAAAGAGACAGCAGCAGAGCGCCCTGTGTCCACTGCTGCAGACAACACAAACTTTCACAACTTTTAGATCATTTCTCAGCACGTTACCCTCATATTCTGAATTACACATTTTGCAGTGGTTGTGGAATGTTGTTCACAATATTTTCCACTTTAAGTAGGCTATTAAGCCACCATAAAGAAATAATACAACTTGAAGCTCGTCCTACTCTGTATGTGATACATTTATGTGCTTGCTGCAAAGATTTAAAAAATAATAATAATATAAATAACATTGCCTACCTGTGTGCGTTCTTTTGTGGATTTTCAGATTTTCTGACCTCGCAAATATTTTGCCACATCCAGGGAACGGGCATGGGAAGGGTTTTTCTCCTGTGTGCACTCGGATATGATTCACAAGCTTGTACTTGGCTTTAAATGATTTGCCTTCTCTCGGACAATCTTCCCAAAAGCAGATATGGTTACTCTGCTCCGGGCCGCCGACATGCTCCATAGACACGTGCGTGACCATCTCATGCATGGTGCTGAAAGTCCTATCGCAAGTCTTTTTGGGTCTGTTCATTTGGTTCTCGTCTATCCACTTACAGGAGAGCTCTTGTTTGATGGGCTGCCGCATGTATCTAAAAAAGGCCCCGGGGCCATGGTGCGTGGGTACGTTCATGCCCATGTTCATGTTGATGGGGTGGTTGTAATTGTGCAGCTGAGCTCCATAGGGGTCTGTCCGGGGACTTGCCACAGGACGGTACGGATCTGGTCTTCCGAAGATATCCCCGCGTAAGCCAAGATGCATTTGGCTGTTGACAACATGTCCGCTCGGTGACGTGTGGCTCACCCCCTGGTCGTGAAGTCCTGGAAACAACAGATGTCCGGGGTTATCGGGGATCCCCGGTGGTCCGTGGAGGCTCCCCGCCGAAGCAGCGAAGAGTCCGTGTTGCGCACTCGGAGCGGGGGGCTCAGCCACGCCGCGGTTTCGAAACAGAAAGTCCCGTGTGGAATTGAACGCGCCACCTCCGTACGAGCCTACCTGCCCACCGTGTGTGTGTCCCAGAGCGGCTGCATATCCTGAGGCTTGAGGGGTGAACGCGGACGTCTGACCAGAGGCGATGTCGTGCGCCACGGGGCTGATTTTGAAAGCTGCGGAGTGAGAGGCGTCAGAGAAGGGATTCAGTCCTAAACTGGGGTCTCTGTTTCCGAGCTCGTGGTGGTGTCTGGGTGTCCCGAAGCCCCCCACTCCTAACGATGCAAACTGCGGACCACTATCTAGCAGCATCATGAACGAACTTAGGGCGCGGGAAGAAAACTAAAAATCAAATTTAAATCCAGTTTAGCGGAGCTCTCAGACCAGCTCACACCACGCCGGTTTCTGTTACGTTTAAGAAGAATCCTCAAAGAAAAGGGAAGCCAACTCGAAGCGGGGAAAAAATCCTATACGTAAAAAGAGTTGGGAGGGAAAAACTCCCGTAGAGCGCGGTCCGTGAGAAAGAGGATCAAACTTCCCCCCCTTTCCATGCGGATGATGTCCTTGGACTGATAAAGTCAATCACTCACTCCCAGAACATAAATGAACTCGGGAGGCAGAGCTACGTTGACCAATCCAGAACGAGCAACCCGCTAATCACGTGACGACTGAGGAGAGTGGTAATTGGCTAGATTTCAGGTGATTGGCAGTGTTTGCTATTGAAGATGGCAGCTCGTCTTAACCGGGTTCATTTGATTGGCTCATACGGCTTTACTAAGCAGGTATATGAAAAGTAAAACGCACTCTCTACATTATGGCCAACATGATTCCAAACAGCACTCACGCGCTGCTGCCACATGTTCAAGAACACACGACTGCAGCAAACAAGTCTGCTCATACATGACACCCCGCACCAAAGTTTGCCACGCATAAAAAACAAGTTTTCCTCTCAAAAAAGTTGCTGAAGCATGCATGACAAACACATATTGTGCCAATACAGAAGTGCACAATTGAAATCCGAAAAAAGATTGCTGCTGTGTTATTTAGAGTTTCATTGGGCTAACTCCCTGCAGGACGCGCAGGATCTGAACAAGTTCAGTGGTGCGCTAGTGCTTCAAGCAGATTTTTAATCTGACTCTTACATCTTTTCCGCTCAATGTCTCAGGAAGGAGCTCACATTCTTTGTTTGAGATCGACCAACAAAGATTTAAAAACGACCTAATTTCCCTTCGCCATTTCTTCCTCAGACAGAAATATTGGAGAAGTGAGTTTATTCAGAGCGTGAACGATGCAGATGTGCGGCATGCCTGCGTGTACTGTAATTAAAGCAAAAACAGTGTGTGGCTTTTGCGCAATAGTGCAACGCCTCTCCACATGTTGCACGTTCTAAAGCATAAAGTTGGCCTACCGGCCCCCCCCCCCCCCCCCCCCTCCCCTCTTCCCCCTCCCTCGTGTTCTCAGCTCGGTGTGTGACTTTGTGCATAAGCAATTCTGCAGCTCTCAGATTTATGGCGACCCTTGCGCACTTACAAGTGATGAGCAGCCCGTTAAGTTCATATTTTATGAGCTCGTTCAAACTGGTCTCTGTACACAACGCTGGCTGCTGTACTTGCTTCTGTAGGCGTTCATAGTTTCAAATACTCCAAAAGGGTGCATTCATGTGTCCATCAACACAAGAAAACATGGGCCTACAAGTTAACTGCATATGTCGAAAGTTAAATATTATAATGGATGAACCTTAGAAATAGTGGGTTATAGATAAATTCAACCTTTCTGTCTTTAGATTTTACACACTCATTTATGCCTCTTTGTTCACGACAAACATTTACTTTGCGATTCAATAGAATATTAATCTAATAATATTTTTTTAAAAATATATCAAATAGATATCATCAGCATGTTAAACTATAAAAAGTTGTTTATAATGTTGTTAATACTTCTGATTTCACGTTGTCATATGGAGTGTCAAATGAAGTTTTCCCAGCTGCGCTTACCTCACTCACGTAGGGATATTTCATTGGTTATTAAATAATCTGCCACCAACTGAGCATGCGCGCAACCTTAAAAATAGCAGTATTGTAACGTGTCACGTAGGTCACAGTACACATTTGGAAAAGAGCAGAACAAAACTACAGCTCATGGTAAATCACATACATTTATTTAATTACTAGCCTATTCATTTGAATATGTGAATTTTTTTTGTACTGCATGCTTATTGCATTATTAGTCACTGAGTGCACGTTATATATGTGTGTGTGTTTAATATTAGTGTAAATGATGCTCCCCCCCAGCCTTGGCCGCTCGCTTAAGGCCGGCAGGAAAGTCAACCTAAGTTTTCTAAAATTGATTGTTCAATCTCACAAAAACTCAACAAAAGGATTTATATTATTTTTGTGCCTCCGTGTGTGAGTTTAAACATATTATGAACTCGTTGGATGTTTAGTAAGAATACAACTTGCTTTGTTTTTTTCTATATGCTCTGGTCTTACTTGTAGCCATCATTGGAAATCACACAAATCAAAATATATTTTCTGCTTATTCACTTAATGTATGTCATTTTGAAGTCACTTTATGTAGGATAAATTTTTTCAATAATATGAATATGATATTCAATGGTAAAAAAAATAAAAATAAAAATATGAGTGTGACATAGAAAGTCTAAACATTATTATTATTGATTTTTGCAATTAGACTATTGTACTTTGAGTTTATTGTAAATGTGTTTATTTTTAGTTGGTGTTGACTCTCCTGGGTTTGCCCTTTAGGGTTAAAATATTGTGTACAAAATGTAGGCCTATGTAATTGATCCATGGGATTATGCATGTTTGAAATATTCTCAAATGAGAGAAGGCATCACAAATAACTGCAATTTACATTTTTAAGATTTCAAGATAAAATTGTTTCTGTATGAACTTACAGAACTCTGTGTTATGCATGTTTATAAATGCATGTGTGTGTCTGCGTGTGTAGGATCTATATCATGTGACCGTGGCCATAAGTGACTCTTTAGAAACATGAGAAAATTCCCTTTAAGGTGTGTTGGAGATGTATTATCCTCAGACAACCTTTCATGTTCTTTTTTCTATATGTTCATTTTGAAATGTAGTTAATTCTAAAACGGGCTAATTAAATACTCAGGCCAAACATACACAGGCCTAAGTTTGTGTAAGCTCTCAGTCGTACAGGTATTAGTCAAAGCAAAGGAAGGTTTCTCACCCATCATCTGTACTTCTTAGCAAGTTTTCCCGACGTTTACGTCGGGAAAACTTGCTAAACTTGCTAAGTACAGATGATGGGTGAGAAACCTTCCTTTGCATACACAGGCCTACACAAAACAATAGTGGTCAATTCTTGTCCACCAAAGGAATGCCTAATTATGAGCTGACCATGTCATAAATTTGCAGCTCATATAAGGAGCAATAATCGGTCTGGACAGGATCTATTATTGTGAGAAGTGTGAGGGCTCTGAACCTGGTTATGGTTAGGCTCTCACTCAGACCTCTGGCCACAGCGTATTTGAGAGACACTGAAGGGTCTGTGCAAAGGCGTCTATAAGCTTGCAATATTTTATCGCGGCACATTTCAAAGCATTTGCTCTGCATTATTTGAAAACGGAGTCGTGTGGTGAATGCCTGCGTGTCCCTTTTAAAACAAACCCAGCGCCTGTCAATCACAGCGCATTCCAACCAATCCCAAAGCTCCCCTTTTAAAAGCAGGTTTGCCTGCTGTGCTTTTATATTGCACCATGGCCTGTTTCGAAGCATTTTACTACCACGGTTATTGCCACAAATCAAGAGGGCAAAGTGAACGGCATGGGACTCTCACCAACTTTAACCAAATTGAGTATGGTAACTACTTTTACGAAGTTCACGGCCAAGAATTTCACATGCAGATGATATACTGCACGGAACATGGACATTGCGCCTGTAGGTGCATCTTCAGAGCTGTTGGTTGACTTTGCTAACTCATAGGCAAACAACAAAACATGACAAGCCTTCCGAGGTTTAGTGGCTGCCCTCTCTCCTGCGTCAGCCCCGGAGAGAGCAATACTGAGCCCAGCGTGGTGCTGCCACCTTTGGCAGGGGAGCACATGGGACACCCCACTGGCACTTCTTTAAAACTCTGCCTCTCACGCAATTTGCGAGACTACCCCGAGACGAGGTCCAGTGCATATGCTGACCACTCGGTGGCTACTTTTGCAGACTCTGGATTCACAAGTCACCGGCTTGAGCACAGCCCTCGGGGCATCCTCATCGGAGCCAACCTCTGTGGAGCCGGCATGCCACCCGTCACTGATCAACTGGCTCCCAGGGCACACCAACATGGAGGAGGTGAGAGGTACAGGGACTTCTCTGGCGTCAGGGACAACCGGAGCCATGCGTTCTTCCCCAGTTACCAGGAGCAGGCCCACGGCTCTGCTGACGGCGCTCAGATGATGCTTGGTCTACCTGGAGACCTCCTGACTCGGACACACCCCTACAGCCAGAGCCTCAGCCCCAAGGGCAACAGTCAGCAGCTCGTCTCGCAGTTTCTGGGACTTTACAAGCCCTTAAACATGGCCATCCAGCGCGGGACAGCCGGGGAAGCCTTCTTTAGGTGCCCCAAGCAGCACCTCAAGCATGAGCTGCTGTGCAAGTGGACAAACAGCCAGGAGGGGACTGGGAAAGTGCCTTGCTCCAGAGCCTTCGGCAGCATGTACGAGCTGGTGACCCATGTGACCGTGGAGCACGTCGGTGGACCTGAGCACGCAGAGTACGTGTGCTCCTGGGCGGACTGCCCCAGAGACAGCAAGCCGTTCAAAGCCAAGTACAAGCTCGTCAACCATGTCAGAGTTCACACTGGGGAGAAGCCCTTTCCCTGCCCGTTTCATGGCTGCGAGAAAGTGTTTGCTCGTTCAGAAAACCTCAAGATCCACAAGAGAACGCATACAGGTTAGTCAATAACATTACTTATCATCATAATAACAATAATAACAATCATTATGATAAAATTAATAATAATAATAATAATAGTAAGAGTATAGTAATAATACTAATAATGATAATGTTAATGTTGTTTAGTCAGTTAACTAATGAAGTCGTCTTGAGTGTGTATGGAGCCACCCTGCTCATGTCATGCAGCCACATGGTGAGCCTGGTGAGCCTAGACAGGCCTGCTGCTGCTTTGAGTATCTCTCCCACTTCATTCAGTTAAATAAATAAATAAATGCTGGGACACCGGAGAGCTGTGACGTAGCCGTTACGCGCATGAGCCTCATGGGGACTATTTTATGAGCACTGAACATTACACAGACATGGAGTAGCACGAATGCACTCACTTGTGTAATAATGACATAATTCAGAAAGGATATATTTAATAACTCTACAGGTTGATATTTATTGTCCATTGACATAAGGTATTACTTTTGCTTTTTTCTTGAGGCCTTCCAAGCTATCACGATAGAACTCCAAACAAATGAATAATTAAGCATGAGTAATAATATATAATAAAAATAATAAAAACAATAACAACAATAATAATAATATTAATAATAACGGTTATTGTTATAATTATTATAACAATCGTCATAATGATAACAACAACAGCAACAATAATAACAACAATTATACATATTATTATGATTATTGATTATTATTGTCATAATAAATAAAGAATATATAAAAAGGTGAATACAAAAAATATAAATACAACGAATAAACAAGTCATTTATGGGACACCTTGGACAATAACAACCACAGCCTATTGTTAAACCTGGAGTACTTTGAAACCACACACAAAATTAACTTTGAAATAAAATCCATGCAGTTCCCCCACAAAATATTTTGGTTCTATCACTAATATTTATGCATGCATTTTTTTGACCTCTGTCACATCTTTAGCTTTTTCAGTGACAATGAGAGGACCAGCCCTCACTCAGCTCTCACTATGCAAAAGATAACTGATAGAAGATAAACACATGTGTGATGCTTTGGTGATTTATTCACTACATTTTACTTAAACTATGCTCCTTCTGCGGGAACAAACAACTCACATTTAAGAAACAAACATGTCATGTATCCCAGCTTTAAAGCTTTAGGCCTTACGAAGTTGACGTGCAAGAATATTCACCTCCCTCTAATTAGTCATGCATATAACTACAGTCACATAGATTCAATTTCAAAATTCATTATATTTGCCATTTGCAGTAAATTGTGATACATATGCAAAAGTCCCCCAGTTTGCACCAGACCAATATATTAAATAAAACAAACTAAAAAGTACAAGAAACGATTGTCAGTGCGAAATCCATGACACAGTCTTCTCATCTGCATGTGTTAGTTCATGATATTATGAGATTAGCCTATTTGACTTTTACACTGAGTTTTGCACCAAACTGTTGGACCTGAGGGAGGCACTGCATATTGCTCACGAGTTTCTGTCTCCGTGTGCTGTGATTCAGAACACACAAAGACGCGGTGCAGGCTTTGTGGGCATCTGCTAACGCGCCTCATCTGTCTCTCCACTCGTTTAGGTGAAAAGCCCTTTAAATGTGAGTTCGAGGGCTGCAGTCGGAGGTTCGCCAACAGCAGCGACCGGAAGAAACACTCACACGTGCACTCCAGCGACAAGCCGTACGTGTGTAAGGTCAGAGGCTGCGACAAGTGCTACACACACCCCAGCTCCCTGCGCAAACACATGAAACTGCACTGCAACAAGACTCCTCCAAAAGGCACCGAGACGCGCGTAGGAGACGACGCACCGGGGCCAGAGAGCAGGGCGAGCCACGCACCACGGGACGCAGCCCAGGGCGTCCCAAGCCACGGCCACAGCCACAGCCACAGCCATTGCGCACAGGACCTGCCCTTGTACGCGGACTCAGAGCAGACGCTGAGGTCAAGGCTGCACCACGCCTTTGACTCTGGCGTGGATTATGCCGCGCACAGACCTCTGCTGTACCGCGGCCAGCACCACGCAGTCCAGCCCAGTGGTCAGGCCTCGCACGGGTTCACTCAGAGCTCCAGGACTTTCCCCACGTCTCCGTTCCAGAAGAGTCTGGTCAATGGCTGGTATACGTGTCACAGCGGCGTCGATTCCTATCCATCAAAGCAGTGTAACATTCCGTCAATGTGAGATGTCTCTATGGGCCCCTTTTCTGCACTGGGTTCTGAATCTTGCACTCGTATCCATCTCTGTGTTAATCCATCATCTGTAAAATGTGCATCTTACTTTAATGTAAAAGACTGCGCACTTGTTTCTATACATTGTTGCCTATATTAAAACACTATTCACCATAAATCATACAGGACCTATTATCATAGTCTATTTACCCCACATGCCTTCATTGTATTGTTGCAGCCATTGAGGAAAACAGTGTTCTTAAAAAGTTATGTTTTTGTCAATTGAACTGTAGGCTTTTATATAAAAATACGTGTTGAATGTACGTTGTTGAATGTAAACTAATGTATATGGCAAAAGCATAAAACCGTTTGTTTTCATGTGTGTGGCTTATTCATTTTCCACAGCTCTTTGTGTGATGGGCCTAAAGTTCAGACTCAATTGGACTGAGACACTTTGGTTTATTAGAAAGGTATAGAGTCCTTATAATCGTGATGATGTTCCTCCAGAATTCCTGCCAAGAGAGCCACAATTTCTCAGCAAAGTATTTATGAGTTTGTACTTGTCTCGTAAATAATAAACAATGGACCTTTTATGCCTCTTGACCATGTGTTTCATTTGATTACAGAAACTTCCAATCTACCATTTAACCATCCACCCATTGTTTTAGATCATCATCGCAGAATTATGATATAATATAAATGTTAGAGTCACTAGTTTTTTTCCCCGATGGTCTTCCGTATTGTCTGTTTTTGTAATGACAAAGTGGAGTAGTGGGTACAACTATAGAAATATTCTATTAAAATGTTGTCATATCCTTCTCTGCTAACTATTCGCTTATGACGTTTGAAAAAAAATGCTAACAAAAATCGCCATATTGTTGATGTATCCGCAGCCTCAGTGAAAGGGGAGGATGGCGGTCCCAGGTGGCGCCGACCAAATGAAAAACCCAAACTATGGATACTTGCGCTGTACGTGTCTCAAGCTGTGGTAATGTTCCGTAATTATTGAACTCTGACACACCCCCCAGAAGTCACAACCAATTGGACCTCTGCTTCCCCTTTTGCACCTTTACCGCCGCCATTTTTACTCTAGTGCTCTCTGCCTAGCAACAAGCGGCAAGCGCCATTTTGGGTAGGGTAAATGGGCGTTGATCAGCTGAGTGCAAATAGATCTATTGCACCTTGGGTTTCATTGACTTGTCAGTGTGCACCCCTGGGTGGCTGTCATGCCATCATGGGGTTTAGACCCAGCTGTGTACCAGGGGGTGGGCTGCTTCATCACACTGGCTCTCTGGCTCTTTGACGCATCATCATAACCATGCATGACACCTTGCGTAACTTACAATATGCAGTCTTACTCTTGTGCAAGCAGGGCGCACGCTGTGGTTCCAACAGTCCAACACTGCTCCAGCGGCAGTGAAGTTTGTCAAGAATGTGTTGCGTTTTTGTTTCCTCCAAATCTTTGTTTGTCACGACAGCGCTGCTACTTTTCACTAATTCCCTGTTTCTGCCACAGGTCTTGAATGTTTGTGCCTCTAGCTGTTTGCATCCACCTGACTTACACTGTTTTGTTTCAAGGTAAGCCAATGTTGTATTCTAATAAACACAATATACAAATGATCCCTATATATAGCTTTAGCGCACAATATCTTCTCTTTTGAGTTGACTGAACATACCACATTTGAACTTGGCTGCTAACAATGCAAATGAGACATGATCGCAAGTTTGGAGTTTTTAGTCTAAATAAACGGCTTCGCATCTGATTAAACTGTGGAGTAAAATTAATATGTCACTTATTCCTTCCGCGAACATTTATCGGCTAATCTGTTTCATGTCGAAGTCTGTGATAATTTGACATCTTGACAATTAATAGGCTTATAAAAACTCCTTCAGAAGTGGAGCTCACGTAAGAAAATGCAACCGTCTAAATAACATGTACAGTACAGAGGCGCGCTTATGAATCATACATCTGTAGAGATACAAAGACCCTGCTTATTATTTCATGTCTCTCTTGTCTTTTACCTGCACCGCACTTTTTCTGATTTCATTGTGCCAGCCCCCTGCTAGGTCCAGGCAAACCCAGGGCTAAGGAAAGTGGGCCTCTCCTCGCTGCTCTACACTCCATCCATTCCAACGTACACAGTCACTGAGCTGGTCTAGGGTCACCAGCGAAGCAGAAAACACAGTATTCCGTGAAAAAGAGTAGAATTTTGTTTTTAACTTTTGTTTTGAATGTATTTTTTTTCTGAAATGTTTTTGCTTTGCGTCATGCACAATTGAGAAAAACAGAAAAAAAACTAAAGTTCCTGTGCCCATGTATTAAGAATATGACATCCTTCATTCTTCCCACAGTGGGGTAGCACACAGCACAAGATAAATGCACAACTCTATACTAAATAAAATAAAATAAAATCTCTAACTCTAGCATGAAGTTTAAAATCTCTATATATTCAGCATAATGAGTGCAGCAGTTATGACTATTTATCTCCTCAATAATATTTCATGATGAGCAATGTTTAAGCAGTTTCATAGGTCGTGCAGCCGTCGTACGTCCACAAGTTTAAGCGCCATTAAAAACTTTGATAATTGTAATTGATGCAAACGGTGCAATGCTAAAGTCAAACAAAGCCAGTTGTTTAAAGCCATCACTTCGCATTACCTGCATAAAGCATTAGAACGGTTGTTTGAGGTGCGACTGTGAATGCGAGGATCACAGTGGTGGCGGTCCATGCTGTTTCAAAGCCCTGTGTAATAGTGTGTGTTAATTTTATCTGTTGCAGTGGTGCTGTGTAATCAGCCTGTGAACAGCACATCTGAAGAACGCCTTGGGTTTGTGATCACGTCCCACTGAAGTCCGGCCATTTCGCTCAGCACCGGGTTTTCATGTGCCTGCCGCTCCTGGTATGTGGCTGTCAAAATACTTTATACCTGAGGCCTTATTATTGAATTAAACTCTCGACAAAAGGATTGATACCACCACCAATTAAACTTAAACTAATACTGTCAAATTAAATTAAAAAGAATCTTCGACCATCATGTTGACGGTTCGTTACATGAGTACAATATACAACGGTAGAATCAGAATCTGAATTATTTTGTATTGCTATTGTGAGTAACAGGAAGTGCAAACAAGTGCAAGCAAGAGAAATAGGATAAGGCATGTATAAAAGTGAAACATCTCAAACATAACATTTCTTAAAGTTGCAATTATCAATATATGATAATGTTCGTAAGTGTCAGGTTTAAAATGTGTAAATAAATTAAACTAAATGACATGCATTTGTTCAGTTATCGCCTAACTTATCGAGCAGTAATATAATCAGATCTGTGCGCAGTAGAGGCCTTTAGGACAGATCTGGGACTTATCGGATGTAGCACTAAATGGCTATTTGGGGACATTTTGTTCCTGATCCTGAAAGTGTATTAACTAGTGAGAAACCTGGTGTATATATAGTATAAGTATAGGTGAATATGTACAACACTGATCATCACGCGTTATTGTTTGGCATTCATTTGAAATTTTGTGATTCACCTTTTTGTTATTATGTGGTTGTAAGATTAGTTTAAAACATATTATTTGACCCAAAATTGAGATTAAATAATATAATATGAAATATACAACTTACCCTGTGCTTCAGTATGACTCTGAGTGTATGTAGTTCTTTCTCACTCCGTATTAGACTTTCCACTGGAATAAGTCCATAGATTTAAATATTTGTAAAGTTTTGGGACATCACAGTGACATGTGACTTGCAATGTGTATAGAAAACACAATCAGTGGGATTATTAAAATGTGACGCAAGGCAATTTAATCAAAATGTATTACTATTATTATTATCATTATTTTTAATATGTATTTCAGTATTTTTTTCATTTTAGCTGTAAATAGAAATCATTGAAAAAAAATGATGGAATGGTACTCAAAAATATATATCATTTGTAGTGTTTGTTAATCTCAATATGGGGATATGTCTAAGCACGTGTCAGAGCAAGAGTGTTAGTGGTTAACCTCTGGTGTGGGAGAGCACCCTAGGGCCTGAGTGTACAGTGATGGATGTGGGGTGGTGGGCTGCAGCGGGCCTTGGAATTCCCTTTGGGCCTTTTCAATTACAGTTAAGGCCAAGACAGCCTCCTCCATGATGTGTTGCTGAGGCTCTGACATTAATGGATTGGATAAATGTGATTTGGTGAAAGCGCTGGTTTAGTTCAGGCATCGGCATCTTCTGTCTTTATTTATTCACTGTCTCCAATAAAATAGCCTCAATTACCATTTAAGTGACTATGAAGCTAAACCACTGTTGAAGGAAGTCATTTATCTTCAACCAAAGGGTAGAGCATCAGGGGCAGTCATTATCCAGTGGTGCCTTTGAGCAGTCCAGGTAAGGGATTCACAAAAGTTGTGGACCGTCTCTTTATCTTTTTGAAGATCAATAGAGCAGTCTAACCTCGCGTTGGGCCTATGATAATGTATGATAATGACCTGTGTGTGTATGTGTGTGTGCGTGTGTGTGTGTGTGTGTATGTGTACGTGTGTGTGCGTGTGTATGTATGAGTGTGCTTATAAAGGTGAGCAGCGCAGTGCATCATCAATGATATAAATCCCCCAGATGACCTTCAAATCCAGATGAACCTTTCACACTGCAGGGACAGGACAATGAGGATAAAGAAAATTGTGCCATTGTTCATTTGGTCACAAAAAAATCTATCTTATTTTTTATTTTTTGCTTTTATCATGATGGATTACCTGGCCTTTTTGTTTCGATGTAGTAGTTCAGAAATTGCAAGTAATTTAGCTGCACGAGAAACGTACATATTTTTATGGTGAAATATTACACACACATGGGGTATAAATGGGACTTTGTATTCGTAGGAAAAAAATGGGGGTTCACTTCAAGTATTGATTTGTATCATGTTGTTTCTCTTATGTTAAAAATGTTATTTAAAGAAACACCTGAAAAAACCTGATTTGTGACGATCCTTAATTTCCTTATTAAAATAACGTTTATTTCTTAGCTTTATGAACATATAATCCCACTCTGGTTCAGGCCAAAACAACAGAAAATAAAGCATCAAATCCGTTCCATAGTAACAGTGCTATTAATTCAAATTAATCCAAATCTATATTTTTAATCACGACAGCCCTCAGGTGGATGTCACGGAAATTGTCAATTCACCAACAACAGATTAGAGAAAGGAAACACAAGGAGATAGGACTTTAAAACACACAAAGGGTCATTGGCTCATAGTGTTCATGAATGTCCTGGATCATCACCTGCCCATAGACCCTCCTGGAAAAAAAAAAAAACCAAAAAAACCACCAACTAGTGACCAGAACCGTGGCACATTAAATCAGAATCTCCCGCCGCCATCTTTCATCACTAATAAATGTCTGTAATTGTCCCCAGAGAGAGAGAGAGAGCCAGATGTTTGGGTGGAGAACTATTAGCCGCCTCCAAAGTTATTATGAATCCTGGGCCACCGCGCCCCTGTGTACTCCGCTCACAGATCACACAATTTACAAAAAAAAACGAAGAAGAAGAAATAGCAGGGACAAAAAAAAAAAGCTCTTTGATCATTCTCCATTTCTAAAATAACTTCCTTTGAACGCTTCTGAGTCACTTGTGCTTTTATTTATGAAGCCTATTTAGACAATCAAGGAGTTGAGAATAATTAGGGGCTGCATGCGCGCAAACGTGGACATGTATCCTTTTTCAATCGGCTCACCGGCTCCGTTAATTAAACTTCTGAGCTGTTACTTTGCCCAAATCATTTTCTTATTAGCTTTTGCCTTTAGATCTGTTGTCAGCTAACATCTTTTACTCACTGAAATCCCAATGACCCATTTAGTTGATCTCATTTTTCAAGCCTATAATATGGAATTAGGCTATTAATAGTAGTATTTGTGGTTGCTCATAGGTGCTGCTCCATATTGTTGTATTCCCGGAGTGATAGCATTACCATCTCATTAAAGAGCAGGGCCAAAAGGACTTAAATGAGGAGTTTTTAAACAAAATCAACTGGTTTTAACCCTGTGTAGCCCCATAACCCCGTGTTTCAGCGTGGTTCCGTCATCAAAAAACCAGAGCTGGAGTTGTTTTTAGATCCATCCACGCTAATATCAGGAGCTTCTGCCGCAAACACACAATTTCGTCCATTCTGTGTAAAAGACATTTGATGATTCTATGAAGTGACAGAATTGTATAATGACAATCGTAATGGGTTTTAGTGATGAATCCAGTGAAATCCAGTGACTCCATTTGACATTCAAAAACATTTATGGACATTTATCAGCGTTCATGGACATTGGTAATCTCCT